TGACGTTTCGTAAGCTAGTCAACATACATTTTCAAAAGTGATCGTGACCCCCTTAAGTTTTTGAAAACTATATATCGTAAATATTAGCGGCCTGGAATCTAACCTCAGAAAGATGATCTGTGGCAGCACGTTAATTAACTTGTCTAGACATCAGGAGGAGTAAGAGCTAGTAAAGCAACAACTTCTCACTACTGACATTGACATTCAGGGAAGATTTTAGCTCTTGACTGAACAGAGCCTCTTTAATTTTGCAGTGAAAGTCAGTTTTGCAAGATGCTAATGTCAAATGCCTTACAATATCCCCATTCTCATTCTGTGTTTTCCCCTCTGAGAATATGATTAGAGTCTTGAACATTAATAATAATAATAACAACTTTATTACCTTGTCAGCCTTTCTAGTTTTTACAAATAAAAACTAATTGCAGACGATTTGTTGATTAAGGATAAAAAATAGCATTGGCATTGTGAACAACTTACATTAAACCTTGAGACCTACTATCTTGCAGTGTGTTTCTGTTTTTGCTACAACTGAGCTCTCATTTTTATCACTTTTTTTTCCAAATCTTCATCTTCTTGATACCAATTTTGACAAAAGTCAGAGATAATGTAGAGAACTTAAATTTGGAAAGTTTGGACCCAAACGGAAAATAGGCAAAAGTAAAACTCACCTTTAACGTATTCCTTGTTTTTCTCTTGAATGGACAGATTCTCTTTAATTTTGCAATGAAAATCAGTTTTGAATGACTTTTTGAGAGCAGTGAAGGCAATCTTTGTCTGGAAAGTGAGTTTTGATGCGGCGTGTGTTTTGGAATATGATCTTGAGGTCGGCGACAGAGTAGAAGTTGAAGAGTTGTCAGGGCAGCGTTTAACAAGGATGTCAAAATATAGAGTCTTATCCTCCTACTAAAATTCAATGGCAAATTTGATGCTATCGTGTCGGCTATTTACAAAACTTTAAAACTCAATAGCATTGTCTTTGCTGTCAAACATGGTGAGGGTGTCATCTACATGCTGAAATAAAGTGGCACATGAAAATGTTGGCCAAAATTGGGTTTAAAGGTGAGCCGATGGCTACACCATCAATCTAATTTTTGTATTGGCCATCTAATATAAAATGGTTCTTCTTAGTGGCAAACTCTAATAGATTATGCAAAGCAGAACGAGGTAATCGCGGAAGATTTGGGAGAAATACAATCTGTCTAGACAAATCTGTATTGTCTCATCAAGTGGCACATTTGTAAATAGGGAAGTAATATCCAAAGATCCAAAGAGCACATTATTCCGTTGTTATGTTTGTAGGCTTTGGCCCAATCTGCAAAACTAAATGAATCCTTAACCGTGTGCTGGTTGGTAGAAATTGGCTGAAGTATGCCAACGAGGTAGGAAGACTGTAATTGTAGGTGTAATTGGAATAATGTTTATCCCCACTGTTTGTGTTATATTCTTAATCAAGCTACGATGGCTAAGGAGCAAGAGTTTATCCCCAACTTGCTTTTCCTCCCCCACCCCCACCTACTGGAAGAGAAAGTGCTCACGAAGGCCATTATAATTTACTCGGCAGTTCCATACAGAGAGAAGAAAAAATCAGTAAGGTTCCTTCTGAATTAAGATAGATTCTTACCATAAGGGCAAATCGATTCCTTTATTACTTTCATTGCTAGGAGATCTGCAATCTCGTCAAGTTTATCAGAAAAATCGGCGTTGATGGCGTTATCTGGTTCAGTGACGATGCCTTTTAACTCTTGTATTCTTGGTGCTTTCTCAGTGTTGGGAATAAGGACACCAGCTATTTTGATGTTGTTGACTCTCAATAACTTGGCTGGTTTTTCAAGCATGAAGCTTTCCATGATGTCTCCATTCTCATCCACCGTGTTCCCGTCTGAGAATATGACTAGAATCTTCAAAATTAAAAAACAAGTTTTTAAATAACAAGAATGAAAAACAGGATTGACAATGTGTAAACAGCCGAACTTCCACTAACTGACACCTCTCTATAATGGCCAACTCTCTACAACGGCCACGTTTTGGGTCCTGGAGGAAGTTTCATACATTCTCTTATTTAAACCTCTCTACCATGACCACCTCTGCCACAACAACGGCCACCAAAGCACGTCCCTTAATCCACTACTAACAAACAGTTTCAACAGGACCCCATTCAGTTATTGTAAAAAGTCATGCCACTTGATCCATACCGCGAGTCGTTGGTCCCTTATTCTGTTTGTTTTCTGTTTTATTGATAATTGATTGTGTTACGTATTTGCAGCGGAGCTCGCGCAACCCGAAGGGTCGCCAAGCAGAGCCCCATACTTATATAGGGAAGAAAAGGAAACCCATGATTTGATTTCCTCATGGTTATCATGGCTAGCGGTATTGCTCGTGGGCGTGTACCCACGACGGCGGCGGACTCGCGCAAGATGGCGGCCATACTTCAAAGAATAGCTTGTCAGCGATATGCAGCCTTGGTTTGCCGTGTACTTGTGTCAAAACAAGGTATCCGCTGACCAGCATTACGTGACCATATCGCGGGCTCAAGTTTAGAGCTCATTGAGGTCACGCGTTTTTTTGAAGTTGACCGCTG